GGACTGAACCCAACCTTATACACTAAGCCAGACTGAACCCAACCTTATACACTAGCCCAGGATGTACTCAGCAGCCGATGTGAGACGCATCATCCCCACCCCCATAAGACCCGACTGCCTCAGTCGGCGTTCTGACGAACCCCATAAGACACCGACCCTACGGAGCCAGAGCTCTGATACCAAATGATAAGGGACTGGACCCCTAACTTCGCCCCAAAAGCTAGCTCATAGAGGGAAGGACTGAACCCAGCCTTATACACAAGCCCAGGATGTACTCCGCGGACGATGTGGGACGCATCAATAGGATTCTCCGGTTTTAGAAAAAAATACAAGAATATAGATTTAAAAAAAAGAAAATTTATCACCTTTGGGCAAATAAATTCTCAACATACGTTTCTACTCTAATACAAAAATTCATTAATTAAAAATTATTACATATAATATTTTCCTTTGGGTAAATTACTATACATAATAATTTCGATAATTTCATCTAATATACATCATGTAAACAAGAATATTTATAAATTTCTACAAAAGAGTCACTTTATTGACAATCCTTTATATTAATTCATAACCTCTTACATGAGATACTACATTAATACTCATAAAATTTAATAACCATTGAGATTTCATGCCTTAAGTATTAGTATCATGAAACATTGTCATTAAAATTTTAATAACATATTATGTGTATTTAACAATATCATGACTCTAAAATAGTGTACTATTTACTTATGCTAATTCCAATAATCAGAAAAATAACGAGAAACTTATAGGTTTCTTCTGTCATAAAATTCCAAGAAAAATTATATAATAACCAATTTATGATCTCCCATAATCTTAAGTTTAAACCTTGCATGGTTATAGTCATTGACCTGCACTTGAAAATCTCTTTCAAAAAATATAAAAGTAAACTCAAGTATTATAATGATAAATATCTTAGTATTACCTTTACTGACTAAAATTACTTTTAGAGAAATAAATATCCAATAATATGTTATTCCATATTACATCTTTTTTTGTTTTTTTGAGTATTGGGGAAGGGGATTTAAACCTGAATCTATTATCAAGACGTAATGCACTTACCACTAGGTTATGCCTTGGTGTGCGCATATGTCATGACCCATTTCTATGGGTCGAACCCGCACTAGTGTCCAGGTAAGCTTAAGGCCCCCGAGGCCCATAGTAAGCCTGAACCACTAAAATTCAACCATATCAATATGAATCTTATAATTATATTATACTTTAGCCCAAATATAACATCTTAAACATTTCATAGTTTGGGGCTATTTATAATACTCCTTATTTATAAAATGGGCTACTAGTCCATACTTGCATTAAAATGCATAATTAAAACATTCATAGGGTAATGTATATCCTTATTATTACATGATTAGAGGGATATAGGTCCTACAACTGTGGAGTTCACTAATAGATAAATATAAATAAATTTAGTAGATATAGCTACATAATTCAAATAACTACTAACTCTAAAAGTTATCTAGCTCTGTGGGAAAGGAGATAGAGTTTTAATAGGGACAAAAAGGACCTACTTCCTGAAAAAAAATTAAACAAAAGAAATGTGAATTTAACAATGAATTATAATTATTGCATAGCATAAGCATTCACATGAAATGCTTCCTAAAGTACTAAAATGAACATATCGGTCAAGCATATGGCACAACATCAGCATTCACAAGTAATCACACTTTCGGGTAATTAAACAAGTGGAAATGTGGCGTCACTGAAACCCCTAATGAGCCATCCTCACACATGGCCCATCCTCTCATGACATGTGCACCAGGCAGCTGATCCCCAATACATAGCCGCCGGGTCTAATCCTCACTTAACTAGCCCTTTCATTTTTTTTATACTCTCTTTTCTTTCCATACCAACATAAGGCCACCCTGTAATTTCCATATAATCCATATCATCTTATGTACATGGGGGCGTCGATCTCCCCATACATGGCTGACGGTATCAAAGACCGCCCTCACAAACTTATGGTGACCCACTTCATTCCAATTCCACGCAAACAAGGCAAATACATGTCACAATACAAATAATCAAGCAATGCAATTAAATGCAATCATATTAAACAATTAAAAACTATCATGCAAGAGTACAAATAAACATTCATATATCAATTCAAATAAATATAAGAGTGTTAAATAATAATATAATATAATGGGTGGTACTCAAAAAATAAATGAATAAATAAATATAAGTAAATAAATAAATAATAAAGGACTATCCTAAATAAAACCTACAACCTATTTACAAGTAAAACTAGTTTAGATTCTGTCAAAATTTCGGCAGAACCTCCCCTACAAATTGGATTAAACCACCTATGTGAAACTACAATTCAACAATAAAACTACAATTCAACAATAAATTCTCAAAGCCCATCCATCGGATAATTTACAACAACTAATCCCATCCGCCATAACCATTATTCATTCATCTAAACAATTGCTCAATTCACACGGCCCACCCACCTTAGACAACATTAATAAACCATTACGCACACATATATGCACTTAATAATTCTAAAATTCTAAATCAATTAATTAATCACAATCGGCTACCATAAATACCATAAACTAATTAAAATTTATTTATTTATAAAAGACTAAAAATATTCTATTTATATATAAAGCTATTCAAATAATCTAAATTTTTTTTTGTTGTTTAATTTTATATATAAAGCTATTCAAATAATCTAAATTTTTTTTTGTTGTTTAATTATATCTACTTCAATAATCATCTAATCTAACATAAAGGCTAAAATATTCCAAATGTTCAGAATTAAGTGTGTTTACCTATCGAGGTTCTCTAACAAGAATCATATTCAATTAATTATTTATTTGAAATCAACTTATTCAACTAAAAAAATTTTAAATTGGAATTTACTCCAAAAATTAGGAACTGGGGCTTAGAGCATACAAATCGAAAATCGGACTATGATTCCATGATACGCACGAGGAGGAGATGATTTTGCCTCCTGGGGTCTCACCGGCCGGTCACCGAATCGCCATTGGCAGCTGTTCACGGTGGCTAGAAAATCGATCTTTGTCGAATTTGAGCGATTTCTACATTTCCAGGCTTGAAAATTCACAAGGTGCTGAAATCCATGCTCCGTTTGTGCATTTGGCGAGAGGCGAAAGGGAGTCGATTGACGCTTGTCTCTCCCACTGGAACCGCTGAAAACGGTGTGGGTGGCCGGAATTGAAGAAGTAGAAATCATCGAAGGAGGCAGCTTGGTTTCGTGCCCCAGCAAGCCTATTTGGCGTGAAGGAAGGCTGAAAATGTGACCAGCGGCATGAAGGAACCTGACCACCACTTGATCTCATCGAGTAGTGGCCGAAAAATGAGGAGGGGAGGGGAAAACAGCGCTAGCTTCCTGCAGAAGGAGGAAGAAGAAGAGAAAACAAAGAAGAAAAAAAAATCTAAGGTTTATAGACTATTTCGGTTCGATTCGAACCAGTTTGATCCAATTTAATGATTTGACTCGATTTTTGCTTGGTTTACAGGTTTTTCACTTGGTTTTCAAAAAATTCAAACTGGTTTACAGGTTTGTTTTAGCAATAATAAAATATTTTTACTAAATTTCATTGGATAAAATTTACAATAAAGTTTTAAATGCAAAATTTTTGAAAAAGATTTTCCAGGTCGTTTCAGTCTCCCCCTTATAAAAAAAATTCGTCCTCAAATTTTAGAAGTAAACAAGAAATAAGGATGCAACTAGCAAAGAAAGCGTATAACGGAGAAAAAGTCATTGCAATCCATACTAGATATCTTAAACCCGATCACGTGCAAGTTATTCAGATAAGGGAACCGAGATAAAAACACGAAAATTAGATAACTACGGAAAAACTTATAGAATAAGTGGAAAGAAGTTAAAACAACCATGCACAATTGTCTGTGGAATGACTAGGTGTATCCTCTCTATGCTACAGGCTCCCAATGGATGGAAAATTATTTATTATCTTGACAGTGTAGACTAGAAAGAGAGAGCATAGCCTATGTATATAAAACTACTAGGGTCTCCTATCATAACCCTTATAGGATATACAATTCTAGCTCAGATTAAGATTTAACCACACTGAAACTAAACACATTTAACTGGCTCATTAGTTCTTTTAATGATTGCTCTTTAATAATGAGCTTTAAATTAAACCTTTTAAACTATTAAGTTTAACCCAAATATTTTATAAAACAGATAAATGCAATCAATAAGCCCAATTAGAAATAAATTTCTAACATTTATTTAATAAATAATTGGAGTTTTATCGAACAAAGCCTGAACAGAGCTTGAGCTTCACTAATTAACATCATGACATTAGAGTTTATTTTTGAATACAACCAAAATTAAAAAAAAATTATACAATCAAAATTAAAGATATATTTTTATATTATACAAGCACATGTATTCACTCCTAAAATATACCAGAATAAATAGAAAACCAAAAAATAGAGACAAAAATATTGCAGAATGAATAATTAGAGTTCTATACTTATTGCAAAAGGTTGACCTTTAGTTTGTGGAATGAAATTTATGTATTTTAATTGGCAAAAAAATATTGAATACAACATAATGCATTTTCAGTATATCTTAAAATGGCTATGCATATCATGCATGGATTTATAAATTTTCTTCTAATACCTGAATGCAATTTTATGTGTCGCAACGAGTTATTTACATATCTGCACTTGATTAGGAGTTCCTTGGTGCTCCATAATTATTTTACAATTGCTGCAATTGAGGACTTAAAACAGTGCCTATGAAAATGTTAGAGGCGCTATTCCGAAACTTTCATAGCATTTCGCTTGGAACATGTATCACAATGTGAAACTAATAGTTGGTCTAAATTGCATCATTGAACTGTTTGACTTCCGATTCATCAAGATCAAGTGAACAAATACTACTTCTTTCCTTGTGGGCTCTCACCTAAGAAAATGGCTCTATTATCATATTATTAATTAGGCCAAGAAGGAAATACAAACTGAAAGAAGTTCTGGAAAAAACTAGATAGATTGTGGAAATATAGAGAAAGCTGGATTCACAATAGTGAATCCCCCATCTATTATCATATTATGGCCACTAATATACTTGGAGTCATCACTCCCCAGGTAAAGAGCAGCCTGAGCCACATCTTCCGGTTCAAGCACAGCTTCTTTAAGAAAAGAGCAGCCTGAGCCACATCTTCCGGTTCAAGCACAGCTTCTTTAAGATTAGAATAAACATCATAAACTCCATGATCATCCAGCTTGAAGAAATCCCTTGCAAGTGGAGTATTAACTACGTATGGCGAAATGCAGTTTACTCGAATCCCATGTTGCCCCAATTCCACTGCAGTATTTCTCATGAGCCCTACCACTCCGTGCTTCGAACTGGTGTAAGCATGAGGTGCAAGTCCTCCAATTGTGGAGGCAACACTTGCAGTTGTCATTATACTTCCTTTTCGATTAGGGATCATTACACGAGCTGCATGTTTAGTTCCTAAGAAAGCACCTACTAAATTCACACTAATTATCTTCTCAAATTCAGCTTTTTCATTGTCCAGAATGTTGGGTTTGACCGCACCGACTATTCCTGCATTGTTGAACATAATGTCTAGCTCGCCATACTTAGAAACAGCAGAGTTAACAGCATTTTCCACGTCTTCTTCTTTAGTAACGTCGCAGTGGACAAATGAGCAGTATTTGCCATCTCTATCTATTTCTTTGCGAACTGAGTGGCCTAACTCGTCCTGTATATCAGCAATTACCACCTGAGCTCCATGCAATTACCACCTGAGCTCCATGTTTGGAGAAGAGTCTTGCCGTGCATTCTCCGATGCCACTAGCAGCTCCGGTGATTAGAGCCACCTTGCCTTCTAGCCTGCAATTAATACATATTATTTAATATATCTTTAAATATCTGGAGGATATTATAGAATATAATGATAATCATATACCTCCTTAGACCTGCTAAGATAGTGGCCATGGTTTGGTGAAACAAAAGAGGGATGGCTGTAAGTAGTGATAATTAGTCGAATGAAACTAGCAATGTTGGCTCAATGGTCAATCTTTAAATCTCGAATTTTGATGATTAAAACAAAACAAATAAATTTAGAATTATGTTATTTGTGCTAATTTTATTTTATGCAGAAATTATTTGGAAAGAATATCATACAAGGCAAATCCTACTTTGAAGAAAGATTTCGAAGACCTAGTAGCGAGTATTTAGGAAAAACTTTTTGTAGGATAGAGAGAAAGTCCATAGTATTTGAAGTCACAAAAATCCTTCTCCCCAAAAATATTTTTCGGAAAATTAGTTGTCTCTTCAAAATAATTTATTTCGATAAAATGATTCTTCAAATCGAAAAGAAATTATTTTTCTAAAACTATACGAGATTTCTTCTCTAATGTTTTTGGTAATGAAAATCATCACCTTCTCCGAATAATATTCTTGAAAGACTAAGTGTTTTAAAGTTATCTCTACCTTAAAAATGAAGGCAAATCTTTTCGGTTTTGGTAAAGGTGCATCTTTCAATAATTTCTCTCCAAAATAAATGCTGTCGAAAATCTTTTCTAAAGGAAAGTGAAAATCGGGTTTTATTCTCTTACCAAAAGGGATAAAATAATTTTTTGTAACAAAGATTTTCACATCTTCTAAAATAAGGAAAGAAGATATTCTGATCTCTTTCCAAAAGCTGACAGCTCCTTTGTTTCCTATATAAAGGAACATTCACGCCTTAAACATTTGGTGAAGTAAGAGTATTTGTTTTGAGAGCACTCTCTTTCATTGAACGAATCTTTTTCTCTCAAAACTTACTCTACCCCCATTTTCTTTTCATCTCTACTCTTAACGTTTTCATATTTAAAGTGAAAAGAATTTTTACAATTTCTTTTGAAAAACAATTCTGTGTTCTAATCGATCTTCTAATCTGATAAAGATCTGCTAATCTGCATAAAATTGTTTTTCCTGTGCTTATATAGGAGTTTCTTTCTTGTCTATTTAGATTGTGTAATCTATAGTAGACAGGCCATTATTTGTTAAACTTTTAGTGTATAGCTTAGGTCGAGAAGCTATTGAGAATAGAGGTTATCAAGCGACCTCTCCTCTGTGGTGGGAATAGTAATCGTCCTTGAATCGAGTTCTGTACTCTGCCAAAAGACAGAAAAGGGTTGAGGTTGAACTAGAACCTTTTGCAAAATCTAGTGGGACAAAAGGGTATCTAGGTGTTGATTCTATGTCCCTTGGTACTGTTGGGTTTTCTCTTACCCTTTAAAAGAGATTACTTAGTTGAGGATCTCAAGATGCGTCTTGGGGAGTGGATGTAGGCGAGTTAGTGCCGAACCACTATAATTCTCTGTTTGATCTCTTTATTTCTAATGATTGCTTGATACTATCTTTATAACACTTCTGTTTGATTTTTATTAAGAAACGCTAATATTGTTATTAATTCAGATGTTCTAAAACGGTAATAAGTTCTATCTTTTCTGAACCTTAGAACTCTGGTATTCTAATACAGTGAATATACCATGTTCTAACTGTCGTTCTATTCACAGCATATTTCACTGATTGGGTTTCTATTTAAACTTTATGAGGATGTTCTTAATCTTGATAGCTCTCCATCGTAAAGTTTTTCTGATAAAAAGTTCTGTAAGTTCTGAATTAATAAACTATTCTTTCACATAGCTTTATATGTGTAACCAAATAATATTGAGGAAGTTTTCATTCTAAACTTCCTTTCATAAAGGAAGCTTCTGATAGTGTATTAAGTTCAGTGAGAAGCTGTTCTAATCATAGCTGCACTCTCGCACAGGACTTTCTATCTTTTAAATTTAGAACATTTGTTGAGGGTATTCTATTCATATTCTTATTTTCACAAATTTATCCTGTGTGATTTTCCTGGCTGTTACTTATAGAAAATATACTAATTTCATTGTTTTAGAAATTTCTAAAAATTATATACTGTGTGTTTTCCGCTGTACTTAGAATTCTAATTCTTGTTTAGAATTTCTAAAATTTTATTTCAGTATTTAGAAAACCCAATTCAGCCCCCTCTTGGGTTGTGCCATATATATTCGGGACCCACAGGCAAATGGCTCTCAATCCTCCAAGACCAAAGCTTTCTTATCCTTACATAATACAATGATAATAATAATAACAACCAATAGAATTAGGTGAACGTTTTTTAGGATGTTGGATGTTATCGCTTGTATGAGATAAAGGCAAGTCTATATTTATAAGAAAAATTTTAGGTCCAGAAAAAAAAAAGAAAAAGAAAAATTTTATTGATAATAGTTTCATTTGTTTAAAGGTGCACTTTTTAAAAATTTTACGCTTATATGATTGCGCTTTTTAAAAATTTTTGCCATATTTAAAGGTGCACTTTTAAAATTTTTAGGATTAAGATTGCGCTTTTTAAAAATTTTTGCCATGTTTAAAGGTGTACTTTTAAAAAATCTTTCAATCAACTTTCTATTTGAAAAACTAAAAACAGTTTTCCGGTTTTTAAATAAAAACAGTTTTGCAGTTTTTCAAAATTTGACTAAGGTTTGGAAAACAGCTTTAAGTTGTTTTTCACAATTTTTCTTTATAACAAAAGATATGTTTTTTAATTGTTTTCCATTTTATAAAATGACATTTTCATAGTTGAAGTTATAATATCTATACATTTTTCTCTATAAAATATTTTTATTGAAAGAATAAAAATATTTAAATAACAAAAAAATCATATATACTTTAATATATAATTAATTTTATTATTACAAATATATTATATCTTTTATTTTTTAAAAAAATTACGAAATGATAAAAATTGATATTATTATTATTAATTACGAATATGAATAAAAATTGATATTTATTATTATTATTATTATTATTATTATTAGAATAATCGATTAATAAAAATAAAAATTTTAAATAAAAAATTTTCTTTAAAAGCCCTTAATTATTAATATCTATATTTTAGTATTGAAATTAATGTATAAATAATCGATAATAAAAATTTAAAAAATTTTAAATAAAAAATTTCTAAAGTTAATTATAATATCTTATTTTAGTTATGAAAGTTATGAATAATGTGTGTGAAGTTTTCAAATTAAAATATAATTTTATATTGTGACCAAGTGATGCATTTTCCATTTTCTATTTTCTAATTTTCATTTTCTAAGAAAACTGTCTTCTTAGGAAATAGAAAATAAAAAATTATTTTCTATAAGCAAACACACCATTTGTTTTTTTATCCATTGGGAAGGGTAGTTTTCCCTTACATTGTGGTCGAGAGAACTCGAACTCAATCTTATATTCCTCACACAAGTGAGAAAACTAACCAAATTACCTGATTAACATTTTTTAAAAAATCTTTAGTTTTATTTGTTTGATCCATAGGTGGAGCCATAGACCTGGTTTAGCCACGTATTTTCCTAATTATTTAGTGTGAATAAGAAGAGACAAAATAGTAATTTCAGTTGAACTGTATTGAATCCAGTTGGACTCTTTGATTCAGTAAACTGGTTGCCTGTACTGATTCAATGACTGATCCACTTCGTAAAACATTGATTTTGTCACATCAAAATTGATCAATTATGTATTTAAGTTGAGCCATGGATTTAGTGGCTTGCTCCTGGGTTAGACGATCAAAATTAATGACTGATTCTTCTCTAAGGCTATCTAATCATTTGGAAACTGGTTTGTGTTGAATTATGGGTTATATTTGAAGGTCTTAAGCCTGCTTATTCAGAGGGTTTTACTAAAATTTATATTGAAAATTATAATTTGTTAGCAGTAAAGCTTGTCAAAGGTAAAATTTTATTTATTCCTGTTTCGGTTTGCTATCAATCTAGAGTTTCTTCCAACTTGATTAATTACTTAGAGTCTTTCTATTTCTCATAGCTAGTTTTTATAAGGCAAATTGTTATGCTTATTGATTTATTGAATATGTTTCATTTTCAAATCTAATTAAGACCAGATTGTCTTTGTCATTAGTTATATTATGATAAAACTAGTGTTAGAACCCGCATGATGCGCGGAACAATATCAAAGAATGAAATAATATTTATAACATCATTCAAAAATAATAAAATGATAAATTGTATCTCATTTAGATACATCGAAAAGTTGAAATGATTAAAATAAGAAATTAAGTATTTTTTATTTTCATGATTTATTATAAATGATTGTTTATTTATTTGAAATATTAATTTATACTTTTTTAGTATAATGTGTTCTAAGCATATGAATGTCCTACTTTTTCAAAAATTATCGTATCTCGTGTCTCGTGTTCGTGATACCTAACTCCTGATATATGAGACTACTTCATACACCAAGGTGTTTTTTATTACCAACAAAAATGAAGCGTTTTTTTGTAATTTGTTTTTGTGTCAATGAAATAAGAAATTAAGTTTTTTTTTTTATTTTCGTGATTTATTATAAAAGATTATTTATTTATTTGAAACATTAATGCATTATTTATTTAGTGTAGTGTGTTCTAAGCATATAGATGTTATACTTTTTTTAAAAATTATCGTATTTCGTACGCTTTCGTATCTGTGTCCCATGTCCGTGCAACATAGCTTCTAGTATATGAGACTACTACATACACCAAGCTAATCAACTGAGTTTTTTTATTATCAATAAAAAATGAAGTGTTTTTTTATTTGTTTTTGTGTCGTTAAAATAAAAAATTAAGTTTTTTTTTATTTTATGTTTATAATTTATTAAAAATAATTAATTATTTATTTAAAATATTACAAGCTAATTCAACTGCCAGTTTTTTTATTATCAATAAAAAGGATCGAAGAGTTGTTTTTTTATTTGTTATTTTTTGTGTCAGAGTAAAAATAAAAATTAGAGTTTTTTTTATTTTGATGTTTATAATTTTATTAAAAAATAATTAATTTTATTTAAATAATTAATATATTACTTATTTAGTGTATGTGTACTAAGCATATGGATGTTCTACTTTTTTAAAAATTTTGTTGTATCCCGTAAAATTTCCAATTTTATATTTTTTTAAATTATTTATATATTTTTATTTAATTAATAT